GTCTTCTTACTGGCATGGAGACACATTCTCTGCATCCCGCCAATCCCTTGCTCCCCCTCTACCCTGACCTCAGCTGCTCCAAGGATTAGAGGTGGGGCCAAAGTATCCCTGTCCCTACCAGAAACCGAGGGACATGTGTATGCTAAGGAACTCCAAATGCAGGGAGAGATTCAATTCTTTATAGTTCTGTTGGAAGTGGCCAAAGTGGACAAAGCTGTGGACTGTAGGGTGGAAGACACTGCACCACCGCTGGTGGAGAGGCAGCAAGTCCTACTGCCCTATTGCAATTGAGGGAAGGGTACAGGAAAAAAATAAAAACAAAACAAAAATCCTGGGGCCAGCCCCGTGGCGCAGCGGTTAAGTTCGCACGTGTTCCTCTTTGGTGGTCTGGGGTTCGCGGGTTCAGATCCTGGGCGCTGACATACTCACCTCATCAAGCCATGCTGAGGCGGCGTCCCACATAGAGCAACTAGGAGGATGTACAACTATGACATGCAACTATCTACTGGGGCTTTGAGGAGCAGAAAGGAAAAAAAGGAGGAAGATTGGCAACAGATATTAGCACAGGGCCAATGTTCCTCAAAAAAAAAAAATCCTACCCTACCTTAGATGCAGGGAATCAACCCACATTCAGATCATTAGAAATCTCCTACCTCCAGGGGGCTCTCAGTCACTAATAAAGTCCTAGGTTGGAGACCCAGTGATACACAGCCTGAATGAGACAGAGGATGAACCAGGACAACAGAGAATGATTCTGCCTACCTACTCCAGGCTAGCAAGCATTAACTAATAACAAACTGCTAACACGAGGGAAGAGCAAAAACATGGAGAGAGACTCTCATTGAGGCACAGGCTGATGCAGAAAAAACTGAAAGCTGAGGGTAGAAGAGGATCATTGAGAAAACCCTCCAGCAAACCAGTTTTCACCCTAAGCACAAAAGACCCTAGAAGAATATTAAGCCAGTGATGCACTGAGAATAATGACAGCAACAACAAAATATGAATCTTGGCTGGATTTGTTCACTCCCTCTCAACTAAAAGCCTATCAGAATAAGAGGTCTGCCCACATCTAAGCATAAACACTTTTTACCCTGCTTTCTACTATCCTACACATGTCGTTTGGCTTTCAACCAAAAATTATGGGTCACACAAAAAAAGTAAGAAAAAATAACACACTGTCAAGAGATAAAAAAACCAGCAGAACCAGAGTCTTATATGACCCTGATGTTGAAACTGCTTGGCAGGGAATTTAAATTAACTATGTTTAAGATATTACTGGTTTTAGTGGAAAAGGTAGACGACAATATGAATATGTAAATAATTTCAGCAGAGAGATTTAAAACTATGAGAAAGAATCAAGCGGAAATATTAGAAATTAAAAAAAAAAACACACTTGGCGACAGAGGTGAAAAATCCCTTAAAGCTCTCACCAGCAAACTCTACACAGCAGAGGAAAAATGAGCTCAAAGATAGGTCCATAGAAATTACTCAAAGTGAAACAAAAGAGAAAAAAGAGCAAAATATCAGAACAGAGAATAAAGGATTTGTGTGATAATATCAAACAATCTAACATCGGTATAACTGGAATCTCAGAAGGAGAAAGGAGAGAGAATGAGGGAGTAATATTTGAAGAGATATTAGTGGATAATTTTCCAAAATAATGAAAGTTATCAATCCCCAGAGCTAAAAATCTCAGAGAACACCAAGGAGAATAAATCTCTCACCAAAACACCCCTAGACACATCATATTCATCCTGGATGGAATCTAAAAATAAAGAGAACATATGGAAGGCTGCCAGAGAAAAAAGACAAATTACATACAGAAGAATAAATGTAAAGGTTCCAATAAACTTCTCATCAGAAACTATACAGATAACTAGATTGTAGAGTGAAATCTGTATACTAAAAAAGAAAAAAATTAAATGAATAAGAAATAAAGACTTTTTCAGTGAAATAAAATGAAAACAGCCGCCACCACCACTACTATGAGCATTACAACTGCCAATAGCAAAACAGGGAATCCATTACTTGCAGGACTACAATGCAAAAGATGTTAAAGGAAGTTCTTCAAGCAGAAGGAATTTGGTACCAGAATGAAACTAAAAATAATGAAGACTGCTAGATATCACAAAAAGTAAAACAAACATAAAATTTGCATACTTAGTAATTTCTCTAAAAGACAGCTGACCATTTAAAGAAAAATGATAGCAATATGTTTATCCCATATGTAAAAGTACAATTTATGACCACATCACAAAGAAGAGAACAAAATGGGAATATTCTGGCACTACACATCAAGTAACACAATATTATTTGATGATAGATTACTCAATTAAATTTTTATGCTGCAATTCTTGGAACAACCAATTTTTATTTTTAAATGATTCGTATTTCTAAAGTGGTATGAAGTAGGTAAATAGTAGAGATAAAATGAAATCATAAAAAGTACTCACTGCAGAAAAAGGCAAAAAGTGATAAATGTGATAATGAAGGAACATATCTCTTTGCGCTTGGTAGATTTAATCTAAACATTTAAAATTACATTAAATACAAATGGTCTAATCATAAAAGTTCAAGACTGTGATTGTTTGGATAAAAAAGTCAAGACCCAATTGTATGGTGTAAACATAAGATAAAGATAAAGACAATGAAAGAAAACAATCGAGATTAATATGATAATTCCCAGTCCCTAAATTTTTCTACTAAAAAGTTTGATTTTCCTAAAGCAATAGTGCAAATACGAGAACACAAAAAACATAAAAAGCATTTTTGGAGTCATTTTTCATGGATTTTTTTAGGCTATATATATCCCATGAGCTTAACCATTACCATAAAGTTTATAAAATAATTTGTCTGAACCAATAATTTACTTCAGAATTTTTTGTTATTTGATTGGAACTTCAGGTGTAAGGGGGCATCTGTGAATAGTTTGTACATAGCTGTTCAGTCCATATGTTTCTTTCTGAAAACAGCCCACTCATTCTCTGCATGAAATGGAAGATTATTGTCAATTATTTTTACTCTGTGACTGTGTTAGTCCTTGTCCACAGCTCCATTGGAGCCAGTGTGCACAACTGGGAAGAAATGATGATGAGTCATGTGGAAACGGAGCAAAGGAAGCCAGTCTGTATGTGGCAAGGGAAGAATAGATAGTGCCCTTTCATCCCACTATTTCCATGCAGTATTGTTGCAGTCCACATAAATCCTCTTCCTTTTTTCCTTCATTTACTTGAGCTATTTCACTCCATAAAGCTAGATTACTTTAATTTTTAATTAGTAATGTAATTACTAATCAAGATACTGCCAGCCACCATTTCTGATATGGAATAGAACAATTTCTATTGGATTAAAGCCATCTGTAGAAAACACATATATTAGTTTGTAATGATGTACTCAGAAATTTGTCATGTGTTTATTGCACTGCATCTACTAACGTGCCATTTTCTTATATCTATGCTTGAATACATACAATGCAGAACAGAAATAATGGCCCCCAAAAGATATCCATGTCTGAACACACAGAACACATGAATAGGTTAATTTACAAGACAAAAGAGATTTGCAGATGTAATTAAATTAGGATCTTGAGATGGGAGATTATCCTGGACAATTTGGGTGGACCCATTATAATCACATTGGTCCTTATAAGTAAAAAAGGGAGGCAGGGAGGTCAGAATCAGAGAGAGATTTCAAGCTGCTATGCTACTGGTTTCAAAGATGAAAGAAGGAGCCATGAACCAAGGAATGAGGGCAGCCTCAAGAGGCTGCAAAAAACAAGAGAATTGACCCTCCCCTGCAGCCTCCAGCAGGAACTCAAACTTGTCAATATCTTGATTTATGTTCAGTGAAATCCATTTCAGACTTGTGATCTCCAGCGCTGTAATATAATAAAGACGTATGGTTTTAAAGCCTCTGAGTTTGTGGTAATTTGTTACAGTAGCAAAAGGAAACTAATACAAATGATTAAAAGTTATTAACAAATGAAGAAGTTTCCTATGAATGATAGAGTTGCCGTAATTCAACATGGGCATATTTCATAGCTTTATATTCTTGGAGTTTATACTATAGTAATAATTTATTTTTGATATAATAAGATACCTTATTAGTGTCTTTTTCATCAAACAAGTACCCTGTGCCACATTTACTGTGTTGTACATATTATACTGGATACCCACTACCTTCTCGTTATTGAACTAGTCAATTTTTATAACCAAAATCTTGTGGACTCTGCAATAATCTTCATTTTTTTCCATAATCTTAATTGTTTCAATAAGTATATTGAAGTACTGGGAATTTGGTAAGTTGCTTAGGTTTAACCAGCTGATACCGGCTAGAAAATGACAGAGCTTAGATACAAACTCGAGTCTTTCTGACATCAATGCCTATGTTATTTTACCAGGCTCAATTTATTCATTTTATTTTTCCAAAGCCGTTTGTTAGTGGATATAATTTGCCTGTGGATGGGGACCCATGTAAACCTGTGTAAGCAAGCTTCATAAGAGCTGTGGAAGGAGAGTCCCCAAGAGGACAAGCATGAGGGAGAGCCTCCTTTTTGTCAGTGCACATTGTCTATTCTTAAAGGAGAGAAATTTTGCCCCCTGTGACCCTGAAGTACTCTATAAAAAAATATGAACTAAAAAAAGTGATGTTAAGAACATAATTTTCTAACTTTGAGAGAACGAAGAACCTCCCAAAACATTGATAAATCAGGTAATATATTCTAAACTAATAGTTTGTTTTCAAGTGTTTTAGAAATCCAAATTCATCATCCAAATATTCACTTAAAATCTTCTGCCTCTTGACTACTGACCATGAAAATCCACTCCACCAAATTTCATGAAATTAATTTAGATAGAATAATATCCAAAAGTCCAATCAGGTTATATGATCTTTATTAATTTAACAGCATTTGTCAGTTATTTAACCCGATCTACATTGGACAGTTAACATTTTAGTTATTATTGATATTAATTACATAATTATTAATTAAGCAAATTAACAGCAACATTAAATCAAATTTTAAAATATGAGCACAGACAATGATAAAATTAAGCAAACGTGTAAGGACTAATCTTTGAGAATACTGCTCCTTGAGAAATTATCATTGTGGATTTTTATTTTATTAAAATTTTCCAGAAGCATTTAATTAAAAAAGTGAAGGATGAATTCCAAAATCTCTACGAAGAGTTTCCTTGCAATTTTTAACTTCATTAAAGTTTTCCATACAGCAAAAGACAATGTTCCTAGAAAAATAGATATTTAAAAGTTGTAGGTAAAGTTTTAATTTTTATCCCAAATGTTCAAATTATTTAAAACAAAATTCAATTTAATTAGTATGAAATTAGTATATTTTTATAGACATTCTTTGATGAAACATGTTTTTCTCTTTAAAATTATGTTATGTCTTCATATTCAAACTTATAAGATACACAAGCAACGAAAGAGAATAATGGATACAGCGATGATTACAGAAATGAAAACCCATAAAAAGTGAAGTGACATTTTTCACATATCAAACTGTTGCAAATTAAAAAGTTTGCTAATGTTCACTTTTGGTGTCTGTGCAGAAACACGAACCTTAATAAATAGTTTCTGTTGTTTTGTTTTTGTTTTTATTTTTACAAGAACACGGTCTATAGCACACTCTTTAGTTGCTGTGTAGCAATACCTGATCCATGAACTCATTCCTAGTAATTTAATCTGTCACTATTCCAAAAAATTAATAAAAGAATAGGTTGAATGTCATTTTAGCATTGCCTAAAACTGTAAAGAATATAAATCCATTCAGTGGAAAGCTATGTATTATTTAAAGAGAATGATGTCTGTCAATATTTGCTGACTTGCTGATACCTCGAATATACATGGTTAGCGAAAAATACATAGTGCAAAGCAGTGCCATACACAAAATTTCTTTTATGCAAATAACAAGGTTTTTGCCAAATAATTTATTCATTTATTTATATTCACTAATTTATATATATATATTTTGTAGGAATGAGCCCAAAACTTTAAAAAATATGTCAGGCAAGAAATCAAGGTATGGAGGTTAAGAGATGATGATGGCGTGGGTAAATTTTATTTGCATTGAATAACTTTCTGTAGCATTTTAATTTTTAATAAAAGAAATATAATGAATATATTTTAAAAATAAATATAAATAAAATTATAGCCATAAAAATGAAATAGTATTAAGAAATGGAGAAGTATTTAGTAATGGTATGAATTTTGAGTAGAACAAATGTGTCAGAATGGATTGATCAGTTAATGAGCAAGAAAGAAAAATACAGAAGTCTTGAGCCTGGGCCTACTGTCCTTTCCCTTCTATTGATTCCCTGTTAGGAAAAGCATGTTTATTTCCAATCGCTTTATTTCACGAGCAGCTATTTCCAGTAACATCCCTGGACCTTTGCCCCAACCCTAATTCTTCGCCGCGGAGGTCCCTGATTGGTAGCTGACAATTGGTCGGGGCTTATTTATCAAACGTCTCAAGAGGCAGGAATCACTCTTTTCCCCATATTCCGCTAGCAGTGAGGCAGGGCAGCCATACAAGTAAGTGATCTATTCTGCAGACTACACTTTCCCTTGCGTAGCTTTCTCAAGTCTGAATGAGGTACATAAATAACTATTTTAAAAAATGCCAAAATAATGGAGACTTGAAATCTCAGAAATATCAAAGCATAAAAAGGCTAAAATACATAGAAGTTCAACTTAGTTTCTTAAATTTTCTGATCTCAAAAATGTAGCTGAATGTTATGTTAAAAAATTTGTTCAATCTATGTTTATTGACTATAAACCAAACATGTTGAACTGTAAAAATATTTTAATTCAAGATATTCTATACTTGAATTAATTAAAAATATCTGCCAAGGCTTTCAGCACCGTTTCTGAATTCTGAGCATCAGGAGCGTGCATTTACTAGAGGAAGCTAGGAAGCAAGGTAGCTAGTTTAACTATATTCCAGTTTGTCATTTTTTGCTTTTTCTTTTCTTTCTTTTTTTTTTTTGAGGAAGATTGGCCCTGAGCTAACATCTATTGCCAATCTTCCTCCTTCTTTCCTTTTTTCTTCCCCAGAGCCCCAGTAGATAGTTGTATGTCATAGTTGTACATCCTTCTAGTTGCTCTATGTGAGATGCCACCTCAACCTGGCTTGATGAGCAGTGCACAGGTCCGTGCCAGGATCCGAACTTGCGAAGCCTGAGCTGCCAAAGCAGAGCACCCGAACTTAACCACTATGCCACTGGGCCGGCCCTCTTTTTCTTTTTATTGTAGCATATAGAGTCAATTCAAAACTCTTTAACAAATCCCGAGCTAACTTTAGTAAAACCAGAGCTTACAAAGATCTAAAACTCTGTTATATGCAATCTTTAAATGAAATCAATGCTAACCATCCATTCAATCCCTCACTCTTTACACACTAGGAAGTTAGAGTTTGTTTATATCAGCTGGGCCTAGATTGTACTCTCTCTATTTGACAATGTGGCAAACATGACTGGCAGATCAACAAATTCTGTGGTTTCCCAGTGGGTGGGGCTCAGACAAGGATAAACTTGCCCAAGTCCCTCCCATCCACCATCTAGTGGGGCTGTATGACTTTTCTTGCTTGTAAGGTAGGTGAGAAAGTTATGTTTGTCACTTCTAGTGCTAGGTGTTTAAAAGAGGGGCTCCCCTTTAAGCTCTCTAATTGCTTTGATTTTGTGGTGTGATCACACAGTGGTGAAGTTGTGAAGATTGATGGAGCTGCAGAGGGAAGGATCCTAGCTCCTGAATTACCATGGAGGAAAGCCTCCTCTCAATTGAGTAGACATCCTGAGTCACTATGTGAGCCAGAGATAGAATCCTATTGAGTTTTGTCACTACAATTTGAAGGTTTATTTATTAAAATAGCAAGTGTTACCCTAAGTAATGCATACACAATTTTTAAATTTAAAACACAATGCATTCGTTCTTATTTTGACTCATATCTTATTTCTGAATTTTGCTTTAGGAAATAGAAATTAAACACACACAAAAAAACATGTATGTATGTGTGTGTCTATGTATGTATACAGACATATTCATATATATTTATAAAAATATGACTATATATACATTTTTTTCCTCAATAGAACAAGGGTAAATAATATCTGGGAAATTTAATAAAGTAATTTTCAAATTTACCATTGTGTATTTTCTTCTGTTTTCCACTATTAGTAAACCTAGGATTTGGAAAATTTGGAGAAATACACCTCCTCCAAAACCAGAATTTTGAGGGGTCAGATATTTTTCTTTATGTCTACAACCCATAGAACTGGATGAGGAAAGTTCATGTAACAGAATTTATTTCATGGTTCTGTTAGTAATGAAAAGTGTCATTATCATGTTTATTATGTTTTTCATTTAAAAACAGAACAAAATAAAATAAAATAGTAAGACTTATCCAAGAAAGAGAGATTCCCATTATCTCCTGGCCAAACTAAAATGCAGTGATACTAATCTGTCTTTGTACAAGGACCCCAGGGGAGAGGACATGCCAAGTAAGGAAGGGCCTACAATATATGCCCATTAAATAAAACCTATCATAAGCCCACAAGGATTATTGTTAAAACTTTGAAACAGATACCTATAGGAAGTCAACATTAACTTTTTTTTTTTTTGGCTGAGGAAGATTTGCCCTGAGCTAACTTCTGTTGCGGATCTTCCTCTTTTTGCTTGAAGAAGATTCGCCCTGAGCTAACATCTGTGCCAATCTTCCTCTATTTTGTATGTGGGTCCCCACCTCAGCATGGCCACCAATGAGTGGTGTAGGTCTGCGCCTGGGAACAGAACCCAGGTCACCAAGTGGAGCATGCCAAACTTAACAACTAGGCCATGGGGCCGGCCCCAACATTTCCCTTTTTAGACAGTCTGCTATAACAATTTATAATTATGATTCTAATGGTATTTCATTACATATGAAATCAACACAGTGTATAGAAATTACAAAAAAATAATAAAGTCTCTGGGTCTCTTACCTGTATACTCATGCATTTTTTGGATAAAATTTAGAGCAAGCAAGATTGTGTTCTGAAAGCCAGTAAAGTCCTTGATGAAGGGGGCCCTATCCCCACTAACAAGCACCCGTGTTGGCAGGCCCTTCTGGAATTCATGTGTTCTAATCAAAGTTGTAGGAAAGAGGGATGGGGCCAAATAATCCACGAACAAAGCCCAGTTTCTTTCAAAATCTGCTTCTTGTTTGGAGTAATATTTTAACCTAATAGACAAGTAGGGGAAAAGTATGCATTTAGAATTAATCTACTTAGAATTTTGCCAACTTAATTTTTAAAACAGATAATTCATTCAAAACTACATTGTTCTACTTTTTAGAAGATAGTTGGTGTTGAATATATGGTGTTGATTTCACCCTCTAGATCAGAACATTTGAAGAGATGTTAGAATTTTAAATCCGGAAATTACCATCCTAGAAAATATATATTTTTAGTTGAATGTTTTGTCCTTTTCATAAAGCATGCTCTCTTTGCATGAATTCTGAAACGTGACCAAGTCTCATTATTTTAACATGTAAAGATAAAGATAAAAGTCAAAGAAGACTAACAAAATTTCTGCTGGATTTGGATATCTCCTAAAGAACACATGAGTTTCATTTCAGATAACTGCTAAAAAATGAAATAGAGAATTTTTCTTGCTTTTTAGGTAGTTTGGTATTTTTTTCTGATGATGTATACTAGAAAGCCAATTTTTCCCTTTTTTTTTCAGATGTACAACTTAATGATTCGAGATTTGTATATATTGGGAAATGATTGCCACAAATCTAGTTAACGTTCATCACCATACATAGTTACAACATTTTTTTGCTTATGATGCGAGGTTTTAAGATCTACTCTCTTAGCAACTTTCAAATATGCAATACAATATAGTAGTCACCATGCTGTACATTACATTCCCATGACATTTATTTTATAACTGGAAATTTTAAAATTTTAAGCCCCTTCACCAATCTCTGTACCTATGATCTTGGTTTTGTTTAGGTTCCACATATAAGTGAGATTATAAGGTTTTTGTCTTTCTCTGTTTGACTTATTTCACTTCTCATAATGCCCTCAAGGTCCATCCATGTTGTTGCAGATGGCAAGATTTTCTTCTTTTTTATGGCTGAATACTATTCCATTGTGTACATATGTATATACTACATTTTCTTTATCTATTCATCTGTCAGTGGACACAGGTTATTTCTGTATCTTGGCTATTGCAAATAATGCTGCAAAGAATATGGGGGTGTAAATATATTTTTGAATTAGAGTTTTCGTTTTCTTCAGGTAAATACCCAGGAATGGAATTGCTGGATCATATGGTAGTTCTCTTTTTAATTTTTTGAGGAACTTCCACATTGTTTTCCATAGTGGTTGCACCAATTTACATTCCCACTTTCTCTTCTTATTGAGAAAGAAATTTTGATCTTAAATTTCCAGCGAATAATTTTATATCTATATAATCTGTATCACTTGTTCTAGCAGTCTTCTGAGTATGTAAACAACCTGCTGTTTTGAACCATGCTTGTTCCCTCTGAAATATTTTACACTATATGTCTTGCTTATCAGGCCCTATGTCCTTCAAGCCTTATTATGGAAGTTATATGGCTTGTTACATTTCTTCTGGTATTACTCTAAGTAATACAGACATGGGGGTCTAGGTACTATGGATTCAGAAAGTAATTGGAACATTAATTTCCAATTGGAACATTACTTTCCAATTGGAACATTAACCACTTCTGTGAAAGAAACACACCTGTGTATATGCGGTTCCTATGCAGCTATGGAGTATGGAAAATGAAATAACTAACCTGTTCTTGATTACAGAAAACAGGTAGGCACACCATGCTTTTATAAAACCATCATAGCCAAGTCTCAAATTTAAGAAAGAGAAAACATGAATACATAAGGATATTCAGTAAGGGTCACACAATCTTGATAGTAGCACAACTAGACATTGCATAAATTGTAGGAGAGTCAATAGCACATAAAAAGAGAAAAGAGATGTGGACGTATGTTTTTAATTCTCTTGAGTATTTGCCTAGATGTGGAATTACTGGGTCACATAATAACTTCAAGTTAACATTTTGAGGAATTCTTAAACTCTTTTCCAAAGTGAACGCACCATTTCTATCCCCACCAGGGTTATACGAGTTCCAAATACTCCACACCCTCTCCAACACTTGTTACTGTCTGTCTTTTAGATTTTAGCCATTCTAGGAGGTATAAAGTGGTGTCTTATGGTTTTAATTTTTATTTCTTTAATGACATGATTTTTAGCATCTCTTTATGTACTTTTTGGCCATTTGTATGTCTTCTTTGAAGCAATACCTACTCAAATCCCTTTTCAATTTTTAAAAACTGATTTGTTTCTTATCTAATTATAAGAGTTTTAAAATATAATTTGGATACAAGTCTCCTAGAGATATATGATTTGCAAATATTTTCTCCCACTCTGTGTGTTGTCTTTCATTTTCTTGATGGCCTCATTTGCGGCACCAAAACTATTTAGTTTTTATGAAGTCCATTTTATCCACATTTTCTTTGTCACTTGTGCTTTTAGTGTGACATCTTAGAAGAAAATTCCTAACTCAAAGTAAAAAATCTTTATAATGACTTCTATAGTTTTAGGTCTTACATTTAGGTCTATGATGCATTTTGAGTTAATTTTGTTGTATTGTAGGAGACAAACTTCATTCATTTGCTTGCGGATTTCCAGTTTTCCCCGTATTGTTTGTCAAAAAGACTATTTTTTACCCATTGAATTGTCTTACACTCTTCTTGAAAATCTACTTTTCTTTCTGTACTTTCAGTTCTATTTCATTGTTCCACATCTATCATTATGCAGTAACATACTGTCTTGATTACTGTACTTTTAGACTAAGAAATTAATAGGGATTGCATTGAATCTGTAAACAAATTTAGGGAGTGTTGCCATTTTAAAAATATTAAGTCTTCCAATCCATGAACACAAGAAGTCTTTCCCTTTATATGTCTTTAACTTCCTTCAACAATATCTTGTATTTTTTCAGTATATCCAAGTTTTGCAATTCTTATGTTAAATTCATTTCCATGTATTTTATTCTCTTTGATACAGTTATAAATATATCATTTAGTTAGTTTCTTAGTTTCATTTTGGGAATTTTTTATTGCTAATGTATAGAAACACAATTGATTTTTGTATGTTGATCTTGTATCCTGCCAGGCTGATGAACTCACGTATCAATTATAATAGATTTTTTTTTTTTTGGCAAGGGAGATTAGCCCAGAGCTAACATCCATTGCCAATCCTCCTCTTTTTTTGCTGGGGAAGATTGGCCCTGGCTTAACAACCATGCCTATCTTCCTCTATTTTGTATGTGGGACACCTGACACAACGTGGCTTGATAAGTGGTGCGCAGGTCTGCACCTGGGATCTGAACCTGCGAACCCCGGGCCGCTGAAGCAGAGCACGCGAACTTAACCACTACGCCACCCGGTTGGCCCCTATAATAGATTTTTAGTAGATTTCTTAGAAAGAAAGTATTACTACTTCCATTCCTATCTAGATTACTTTTATTTCTTTTTATAACCTAATTTCCTTGGCTGGTCTCTCCAGTATAATATTGAATAGATGTGGTGAGAATGGACAACCTTGTCTTATTTTTCATCTTAAGGGGAAAGCATTCAGTCTTTCATCATTATGATATCAACTGTGGGTTTTTCTAGATGCCATTATCAGGATGAGAAACTTTTCTTCTATTCCCAGTTTTTTGAATATTTTTATTATGAAAGAGTGTTATCATCAAATGCTTTTTCTGTGTCTATTATGATGATCCTGTGGTTTTTGTCCCTTATTCTATTAATATGTTGTATTATATTGATTGATTATCAGATACTGAGACAACTTTCCATTCCTGGAATAAATCCCATGTGGTCATGGTTTATAGCTCTTTTTTATATGTGGCTGGGCTTTGTTTACCAGTATAGTGTTTAGGATTTTTGTGTCTATATTCGTAAGAAATGTTGGTGTGTAGTTTTCTTTTCTTGTGATGTGCCTGTCTGGTTTTGGTATCAGAGTAATATCGTCATTTTGTTATTTGTTCTTACATCTTATATCTTTGTCTTCTTTTCCTTCATTACTGTCTTTTTTTGTGGTCAACAGATAGTTTCTAGTGTAACTGTTTATTCCTTTGTGGTTTCTTATAATATATTTTTTTAAAATTTGCTTTCTCAGCTGTTGCTCTTAGCTGATGAGGTTACAATTACCATCATCTTGGGCCGGCCCCGTGGCTTAGCGGTTAAGTGCTCTGCTACTGGCAGCCCGGGTTCAGATCCCAGGCATGCACCGACGCACTGCTTCTCTGGCCATGCTGAGGCCGCGTCCCACATACAGCAAGTAGAAGGATGTGCAACTATGACATACAACTATCTACTGGGGCTTTGGGGCAAAAAAGAAAAGAAGGAGGAGGATTGGCAATAGATGTTAGCTCAGAGCCGGTCTTCCTCAGCAAAAAGAGGAGGATTAGCATGGATGTTAGCTCAGGGCTGATCTTCCTCACAAAAAAAAAAAAAACAACAACAAACAATTACCATCATCTTAACTTAAAACAATGTAGTTCGGATTAATAATAGCTTATTTTAGTCATTTACATAAATCTTGCTGCAATATAATTCAATTCCCACTCTCCTCCTTTTCGCTATTATTATTATACTAATTACATCTTTATACATTATAAACCCATCAAAGCAGTTTTATAATTATTGCTTTATGCAGTTGTATTTTAAAATCAAATAGAAAACAAAAGTGATACAAAAATATACATTTCTACTTCTTTTATATTTATCTATGTAATTCCCTTACTGATACTGTTTATTTCATCATTTGCATTTGAGTTATCATCTGGTATCCTTTCATTTCAACCCTAATGACACCTTTTATTATTTCTTGAAAGGCAAGTCTGCTAGCAATTAATTCCCTCAGTTTTTGCTTATGTGGAAATGTCTTAACTTCTCCTTCATTTTTTTTTTTTTTTTTGCAAGGAGGACTAGCCCTGAGCTAACATCCGATGCCAGTCCTCCCCTTTTTTCTTGAGGAAGACTGGCCCTGGGCTAACATCCGTGCCCGTCTTCCTCCACTTTATATGGGACGCCGCCACAGCATGGCTTAGCAAGCGGTGTGTCGGTGCGCGCCCGGGATCCGAACCTGCGAACCCTGGGCTGCCGCAGTGGAGCGCACGCAATT